ATTTTTGATTTTGATTTTTCTTTTGATTTTTCAGCTATGAAAAAGACAATAACAGTTAAATTTACACAAACTTCGTGTTTTTTCTTGTTTTGTGCCCATTTTTCTCAGTTTTGGGGTCGTTTGTTCTCGATTTTGCGGATTTTTATGCAACTTTCCACTTGATTTTATTTTGATTTTTTTGATTTTTTTGATTTTTTAAATGAGTTTTTGGGGGTTGTACAATGATTTTTCGAAGTGACCCCCCCTCGCAAATTATCACGGAAATATGCCATTTTTTCCATTTGCTCTGGGAAAAAAATTGGACTTTAAAATCCTTCGGCCAGAGCACGATGGTCCCACCTTGATACCCGGGCTGGAGGGGGGCACCCGGTTCGCCCGCGCAGGTGCGAATCCCCGTCTGGGTAAGAAATAGGGACGGTCATTCTTATTTGAAATCACCCGCGTCGAAAGGTTTTTCGAAAGGGGTTGGGATGTGCACGACCTGGCGGGTCTGGCGCGGCCGCCGGGCGCCTGGCGGTGCGGGATGGGGTGCGCGGGGTGCGCGGGGTGCGCGGCCACCGGGTGCCCGTGGTCCATGCCGCAGTTGTGCGTCGGCGTCACGGTCCTGGGCACCGCGAACACGCGGTACGTGGGGTACGTCCGGGTGGGGACGGCCCGCGGCGGCGAGGGCGACGCCTTGGGGGTGCTCGTCGTGCTCGCGGCCGGCGTGTTGCGCGCCACCGTGGGCGAGCGGGCCGCCCGGGGCAGCGCCGCGAACCTGGACGTGCCCGTCGGTCCCATATACACCTCTACAAGCTTCACATCAATAAAACTTTCAACGATTCATGCCACGGCAATTGTTAGAATTTGTCGGCGCGTAGTAGTGTACCAGGTGGCTTATGAACCCCGCTCACGAGTGCGGGCGGGTTGTCTACTCGCTCGGCCCGTAAGGCGCCGTGGACAGGGACGAAAGGCGAGCCCGCCCACACTCGTGCGGCGGGCGGTATGTACAGTATACCACCAGAAGTGAGCGGGTTTAATCAGCCACCTGGTACAAAATAATATATAAGTCAAAATTATTTTCTAATTGGTCCCACCTCATGGGCGTAGAGTACGGGTTGGTGTACGACGGCGCCCTGGAGGTGGGCAGGATGTACGGCGAGCCCCGGTAGGCCTGGGGATCGGGGGCGTCCTCCTCGTCGGGCAGGGTGATGGTGGGCTCTGGGTTGGCGTCCGCGGGGTTGGCCTTGCTGGGCGGCTTGGGGGCGGCGCGTGGGGCGGCCCTGGCGGGGGTGGGACGCGCTCCGGCGCGGTGGAAGCGGGCGCCGCCCCCGAGCGCCGCCCCGGCGCCGGCGCCCCGAACATGGTCCGTGGCGCCCTCGGTGTCTGCGCGGCCCAGGCGGTGCCCCGGGTCGTTCTTTGGAATTCGACGACGCGCGGACGCTGCCTTCTCTTTGAAGCGACTCAGCCGCTGGCGTTGCTGTCGGCGGAGAGGGCCGTCACCTTCAACAAGCCGGTTGTACCAGGTGCGTGGCTCACGCCGCACATTTTCGTAGTTAGCCATACTGTGCCGCATGCACGAATGCGGGTGGGTTGCCTACTCGCAAGGGGCACGGGGCCATAAGGAGCCGCGAGGATGGGCAAACCCGCCCGCACCCGTGCATGCGGCGCAGTATAACTACGAGAGTGGGCAGCGTGAGTCAGCACCCTGGCATTTAGAGCTCCGCCACGGGCCCCGCACAGGCTGCCTACCCTCTTCTCGTACTCCATGTTCTCCTGCTTGATCTTGTAGGCCAGGCGGAAGGCGCCGACGTCCGGGCCCGCGGGCGGCTGCCCTGGCGCGGCGCGGGCGGCGCTCGAGGCGTCAGCGCCGCCGTCGGGGGCCTCAGGGGGGCGGTCAGGTGGCCTCGACGGGCTACCCAGAGCGTCGTCGTGCTTGCGGGACTCGGCAGACGGCCGCTGGGGCACAACAAGCAGGTCACCTCGGCGGCCGCGTCGGCGCGCAGACGGACGGGGCTGCCTCACGCACCATGACGACGCTGTTGTTGGCGCGGCCCCAGGGCACCAGAGCCAGCCCTCTGGAGCACCGCGACGACGAGCTCAGCGCCGACGAGGACGTGAAGCTGGCGCTCGCGCTGGGCACCTGCTGCGCGGGCGCGCCGTGGCCCAGGGGGACGCCGCAGCGGGGGTTGCCGTTGAGGCGGTACCCGAGCCTGGAGGCGGAGCCCCGGCCCGGGGACCCCAGCAGGCGGTGCCGCGCCAACCAACGCTCCCGCCGCTCCTGCTCGCGCTGCACCAGGGGAAGCACCAGGCCCGGACATCGCAACGACCTCGAGTATCGTCCGATATCGTCTCGATGACACGCTCGACCTCACCTCCTTCTCCTTGGCCTTGAACTGGCTCACGTCCCGCTCGTAGCGCCGCTGCTGCTGCTGCCGCGCCTCCGCGAGCTCGGGCCGCTCCCGGTGCGACACTGGGGAAGGAAAGCGGTAAGGAATGCTCACGACGTCGCGGGGAAAATTTTGAAGTAATAATTTCTGGTATTTCAGGTCTTTGTGATCATGCTGAATTTGACGCTGACATCAACGTGACATCATTGCGAGTTTATCCCGGGTGGAGTTACTCCTGTATCATCCCCATGGAGAAATTTCATTTCAGCCAATATCGAGACGGCATCGAAACGATATCGCTCCAGTGGAAACGATATCGAAACGTTATCGTCGTGGTATGTCGGTACCGTTTCCATGCCATTATTTCTCACTCGGATTGCACCTGAGGGCATCGTGTTAAATTTTTGTCAAAGCAATGACGAAACTCTGAGTCGATATCGTTTCGATATCACATGACTTCTCTTCTTGAGTACTCACTGGCAGGGTAGGTCGTGAGCGCTGCAGGCCTATGACTGCGACGCTTTCGCTCGGAATACGTGCGTTCGGCGGCGCTGGCATTTCTGAGAGCAAGGCGGCCCACAGCAAGTCCTTGCTCGGTTCGAAAAAATTACATTCTCTGTTTGTTCTTTCAAAAAATCTTGGATTGAATTATAAGATGGCTGTTCACTTTGAATTTTCTGCTCAACGGTGCCTACCGCACCGGCTGCCTGAGCAACAATTGAACTGTGGTGGTGTAGTGCAAAGGCAGTGTTGTCTCGTTGTGAAAAATGTGAAGTTTGAGTGATAACATGAATTTTGAAAGGGAAAATTTCATGCGAGGAATCTGGAAATAAATAAAAACAAATGAGTCTGTGATTGTTGTTTTTTGATATGTATTAAGCACTTTCCTTCACTTTGGTGACATGGCACACAGAATGTCACTCAACTGAACATCAACAATTAGCAATTGGTCACTGTATATAAAAAAAAAATCCCATCACATTTAAGAGCATTTAAAAGAGTGAAATAATTTTGAGTTTTCAAACAAATTGATATGAACTAAGCTGGTCACACAGTAAAGGAAACTTCATTTCATTTCAAAATATTGGTCAACAAGGAAACTATCCCTTCCATACCAAACTGTAAAGATGATGTTGCACACTGATATCACATGAGAAAAAAAATCACAAATTTTCTGCATTCTTTATCTTAATGATGTTACATCATGACTGCAACTGCTTTATCACTTCATCCTAATTGGCAGAAGCAGAGTAGATTGAGTTGCCTTCCAAACCAACTATTATCAAAACACTATGGTACAGAAAAATTGCAAGGCTTATTAGTAGCTTGTACCGGAAATGTTAAGTTTAAACATACATTGTGTTCAAGTAGAGGAAGTACCTCTGAATCTCGCACAATGTAACAAATAAGACACCTATAACATCATTAAGTACAAGATAAGGCCACTTTTTACTGACTACATGCCATATTTTACAACACAATTTAACCCTTTCTTCTATTGTGTAATCTGTAATCTTATCCAAAACGGAAGACTGATAAGATGGACAAGATATGAGTATTAAAATGAAGAGCGTTTGTTTCAATTAACGCCAAAGTACTCTAAAAATATTGAAGATACAAAACCTAACAACAAATTTTCCCATAAATCTACAGGCAAGTACATCAACAAAAAAACACACAAAAAATCTACATTTCTAAACAGCCTAAAATTATTATTTCACTAATGTCGTAGTAGTAAACG